CGACAAACGGTTCGAAAATGGCGGAGTCCCCGACAACCGGGCAACGAACGATCCGTGAACGTCGAGGCACGAGAACGCCGAACCTCCTAATACAATATTTTGTATATTCTTTTCTACGTATAACTACTGTAACCGCTTTGAGCGAAGCGTTGATCGACGATCAGAAGCTTCTTCAACCGTGATCCCCGATCGTTGATCTTTGGTCCGAGATCAGAGCCGATTTAAAAAGGGGGAAGGAAAGACGGGCGAACGCGCTGCCAAGGATGGCCGTGCGTGTAAATATTATAAATAACATAGGAGGAGAATGAATTAACGAACAGAGAAAACAGAGAAAAACGCGAGACAGTATGAGAGTGCGAGAGAGAGAGAGAGAGAGATTGGGCTGCTTGTGTGTGAATGCGTGCGAGAAGGAGCGAATAATTGTAATCTCGCGTTCATGTGAAACGGAAGTAAGAAAGAGAGAAAGAGAGAAAGAGAGAAAGAGAGAGAGAGAGGGGGAGAAAATGAATTATCGAAGAGTTACGAGGACTTTGTTAATTAGGTTTTAGCGGCGAAGACGATATAGCTGGCTCTATCGTAGTTTCTATACTTAACGAACGCGAAAGTTTAACAACGCCGTTCACGGGAACGAGAATGGTGTGAGGAAATACGTTCTTTTTTCTTTTTTTTTCTAGCAGCTCAAGCCACCAAGTCGATCGAGGTTTTCGGAACGGTGCGCCGGCTCCTCCTTGAAGCTGAATAAACAGGGTGGTGGAAGCTTGCGGTTTCGACGCCATTGAGATGCAAGCTTTCGTAAAACGAACGAAAAGAAAGTCGGGAACGATACGAGACGCGTCAATTTTCGAGCGATAAATCCGTTGACTTTTCAAACACCGTTCTTAGAGGGGAAACGATCAGGGAGTGCGAGGTCGCTGCATCCTTTGGGACGCTCGGAATCGCGAGCGAGTCCCGTGAAACGACCCTATCGACGATCGTAAGTCACCAACGAGAAAATCCTCGATTTCCTCCGTCGAGATACACGGAAATTCTCTGTTCGCTGAACGAACGTGAGTGTAAAGGAATTAACTGAATCTCAAGATCGCGAATAGTTGCCGAGAATCGCGGAGAAACTGGGACAACCGAGTGGACGGTAATAAAACGTAGCGAATAACGAATGCTTGCGAAGGATCCCAAAGAATCGCGAAGAATGAAGAATGGTCGTGGAGAGTAGACAAGAAATTGGGCAGAGGGTGGCAAGGAGTATCGGAAAGTAGAAAAGAATCGTTGAATATTTCAAAATCTCGCGGAAGAATAGCAAAAGCATCGTGAAAAATGATAGCGAGAGATGTTTCGAACAGCCAAGTATCGCGAAACGCCAAAGAAACACGAAGAATAATAGAGGATCGCAAGAAACGGCAAAGAAAACGGTGAGCGTAACAATGGCGGATGGACCGCGAGAAAAAGCCCGCGAACTACGAAAAGTTCTCGGTTACTTACGATCGATCCGAGCGGGGTCGCCGGAAACTCCGTCGACGCGGTGCTCCTTGTTGCCAGACGACGCAACGACAAACCGGAAGACACACTCACACAAACTCTGTGTTTCTCATCGACGATTGGCGCGAGCGCTCGTTCAAAAACATAGGAAAAACATGCACGGAGCAGTTTCTCGATCGGCCGTGTGAAACGATCGGTGCATAGAAACCGGAAAACCCACGCAACGTACACACACACACACACATACACACACACACACACCCACATGAACAAGCATACATACGTACACACGCATAGACACACACACACGAAGA